TTGAGTTGGAAAAGACCTTAAATCCCATCCATTCCCACCCCATCCATGGACAGGGACAATTCCCACCATCCCAGCTGGATCCAGCTTGGGTTTGGACATTCCCAGGGGCAGCCACAGCAAATGTGGGAATTCCAGCCCAGCCAGGAATTCCTTCCCAATTTCCCAGCCCAATCTCTCTTTTCCCACCTGGAATTCCTTCCCCCCCATCTGCTGCCACGCCGAGCCCCTCGCGGCGTCCCGGAGCGCGGGCGGGCGGTGGCAGCGCCCCCGGGAGGGGACGGGGTGGCAGTGGCACTCACATGATGTTGGCCTTGTGCACGGCCGTCACCTTGGCCCGGCCCTTCTTGGTGGCGTAGTCGAAGGCGAACTTGGCGATGCGCTGGGACTTGGCCCTGGTGATGATCTTCAGGCACTCGATCACGCCCTTGACGCTCTGCGGGGACAGCGGCGTCAGGGCGGGCCACCCTCTTCACCGTCATCGTCATCGTCATTGTCATCATCACTGTGCCACCCGGCTGGTTTGAGAGCTGGCCTGCTCTTCATCGTCATCGTCATCATCATTGTCATCGTCATTGTCATCATCACTGTGCCACCCGGTTTGGTTTGAGAGCTGGCCTTCTCTTCATTGTCATCGTCATCGTCATTGTCATCATCGTCATCCTCACTGTGCCACCTGGCTAGATTGAGAGCTGGCCTTCTCTTCATTGTCATCGTCATCGTCGTTGTCATCATCACTGTGCCACCCGGTTTGGTTTGAGAGCTGGCCTGCTCTTCATCATCATCGTCATCATTGTCATCGTCATCATCGTCATCCTCACTGTGCCACCCGGCTAGATTGAGAGCTGGCCTACTCTTCATCGTCATCGTCATTGTCATTGTCATCATCACTGTGCCACCCCGGCCTGGCCTGAGAGCTGGCCTGCTCTTCATTGTCATCATCGTCATCGTCATTGTCATCATCACTGTGCCACCCGGCTGGTTTGAGAGCTGGCCTGCTCTTCATTGTCGTCATCATCGTCATCATCGTCATCATTGTCATCGTCATTGTCATTGTCATCATCACTGTGCCACCCGGTTCGGTTTCAGAACTGGCCTGCTCTTCATTGTCATCGTCATCATCATTGTCATCGTCATTGTCATCATCACTGTGCCACCTGGTTGGTTTGAGAGCTGGCCTGCTCTTCATCGTCATCGTCATCATCATTGTCATCGTCATTGTCATCATCACTGTGCCACCTGGTTGGTTTGAGAGCTGGCCTGCTCTTCATTGTCATCGTCATCATCATTGTCATCGTCATTGTCATCATCACTGTGCCACCTGGTTGGTTTGAGAGCTGGCCTGGTCTTCATTGTCATCGTCATCATTATCGTCATTTACTGTGTCACCCCGGCCTGTCCTGAGAGCTGGCCTGCTCTTCATCATCATCATCATCATCATCATCATCATCATCATCGTCATTATTATCATCATCATAGTCATTATTATTATCATCATTATTATTATGATGCCACCCCACCCTGCCCTGACACCTGTCCTGCTCCAGGCTCGCTGCCCTTCCCTCTCCTCATCATCATCACAATCATAATTTCATTATTATTATTATTGTTGTTGTTGTTGCTATTACTATAATATTTATATTTTCATTATTATTTATTAATTTATTATTATTATTATTATTAGACCCTGGCCTATCCTGACACCTATCCTGCTCTGTGCTCTCTTCCCTTCCCTCTCCTCCTCATCATCATTACTATTCTTAATTTATTCTTCTTCTTATTATTATTATTAGTAGTAGTAGTAGTAATAGTAGTATTAATTACTATATTATGCCACCCCAGCCTGTCCTGACACCAGTCCTCTTCTGGGCTTGCTGCCCTTCCCTCTCATTAAATTATTATTATTATTATTATTATTATTATTATTATTATTATTATTATTATTATCTCTCCTAATAATCATATTTATTATTATTATTACCATCATCATCATAATTATCTTCACCATTATTATTACCATCATCACCAGTTATTAATATTCACATTTATGATGTGTCATATGTATTATATTATCTATTATTCTTACACACATTTATTTAGTATTAATTCTTATAATCATTATTTTTTGATTAAATATTCCTTATCATTATAATTTTGTTCCAATTACTATCTATTTCTTATCACCACCATTTTGTTTCAATTATTCAATTGTTATCACCATCAGCACTTTGTTTCAATCATTTAATTGTTCTTATAATCATCATTTTGTTTCAATCATTGAATTTTTCTAATCATCACAATTTTGTTTCAATTCTTGAATTGTTCTTATCATCACAATTTTGTTTCAATTACTGAACTGTTATCACCATCACGATTTTGTTTCAATTATTTAATTGTTCTTTTCATCATCATAATTTTCTTTCAATTATTGAATTGTTCTTATCATCATTTTGTTTCAATTCTTGAATTTTTCTTATCATCATAATTTTGTTTCAATTATTGAATTTTTCTAATCATCACAATTTTGTTTCAATTACTGAACTGTTATCACCATCACGATTTTGTTTTAATTATTGAATTGTTGTTTTCATCATCATAATTTTCTTTCAATTATTGTTCTTTTCATAATTTTGTTTCAATTATTCAATTGTTATCCTCATCATTTTGCTGCAATTATTTAATTGTTCTTTTCATCATCTTAATTTTCTTTCAATTATTGAATTGCTTTTATCATTTTCTTTTAATTATTGAACTGTTCTAATCATCATTTTGTTTCAATTATTGAATTTTTCTAATTATCACAATTTTATTTCAATTACTGAATTTTTCTAATCATCACGATTTTGTTTCAACTACTGAACTGTTATCATCATCACGATTTTGTTTTAATTATTTAATTGCTCTTTTCATCATCATAATTCCTTGCCAAGATCCCAGCCCAAGCTCCCCTTTCCCAGTGGGAGCCATTCCCTGGCTCCTGTCCCTCTGTCCCTTGTCCCCAGTCCCTCTCCAGCTCTCCTGGAGCCCCTCCAGGCACTCTGAGCATTCCCTGGATTTTCCCTTCTCCAGGGGAACATTCCCAGCTCTCCCAGAGCAAAAAGCTCCAGAATCCTGGAATGGTTTGGGTTGGAAAAGACCTTCAATCCCATCCATTCCCACCCCATCCATGGACAGGGGCAATTCCCACCATCCCAGCTGGATCCAACCTGGCCTTGGACATTCCCAGGGGCAGCCACAGCAAATCTGGGAATTCCAGCCCAGCCAGGAATTCCTTGCCAAGATCCCAGCCCAAGCTCCCCTTTCCTAGTAGGAATCCATTCCCTGTGTCCTGTCCCTCCATGCCTTGTCCCAGTCCCTCTCCTGGAGCCCCTCCAGGCACTCTGAGCATTCCCTGGATTTTCCCTTCTCCAGGGGAACATTCCCAGCTCTCCCAGAGCAAAAACCTCCAGAATCCTGGAATGGTTTGGGTTGGAGGAACCTTAAATCCCACCCCAACAATTCCACCCCATCCCTGTTCAGGGACACCTCCCACCATCCCAGGTGGATCCAACCCCAATGTCCAACCTGGCCTTGGACATTCCCAGGGATCCAGGGATTCTCTGGGAATTCCATTCCAGCCAGGAATTCCTTGCCAAGATCCCAGCCCAAGCTCCCCTTTCCCAGTGGGAGCCATTCCCTGGCTCCTGTCCCTCTGTCCCTTGTCCCCAGCCCCTCTCCAGCTCTCCTGGAGCTCCTCCAGGAGCTCCGAGCATTCCCTGGATTTTCCCTTCCCGGGTGCCCACCTCGTGCTCCAGGGAGCTGTACTCGCCCTCGGTCTGCTCGCGGATGATCACCAGGTCCAGGTTGTTGTGCCGGGTCTGGTAGCCCGGGAGGCTCTTGACGTGCACCACGTTGGCAAACAGGTCCAGCTTCCTCCTGGGGACACGGGGCCAGCGTCACCCGGCGGCCCCGGGCTCTGTCCCCTCCCAGCGCCGGGGACCCCAGGGTCAGCAGGGCAGCTCCTGCCCGTGGGGTTTTGTCTCCCAAAAGCTCATTAATAAATAATTAACGGGGTTTTTCCAGTGATGAGTTCTGGGATCCACCCCACCTTCTCCAGAACTTCCAGGGAAGCAGGATCAGCCAGCAGGGGCAGCTCCAGACCAGACTTCTGCTTCCCAAGAACTCATTAATTATTAATTAATGGGTGAGGAGTTCTGGGATCCATCTCACCATCTCCAGAACTTCCAGGGAAAGCAGGATCAGGCAGCAGGAGCAGCTCCAGACCACAGAGCTCCGCCTCCCAATAGTTCATTAATTATTAATTAACGGGGTTTTCCCAGTGATAAGTTCTGGGATCCACCCCATCAAATCCAGAACTTCCAGGGAAGCAGGATCAGCCAGCAGGAGCAGCTCCAGACCAGACTTCTGCCTCCCAATAACTCATTTATCATTAATTAATGGGTGACGAGTTCTGGGATCCACCCCATCATCTCCAGAACTTCCAGGGAAGCAGGATCAGGCGGCAGGGACAGCTCCAGACCACAGTTCTGCCTCCTCATAGTTCATTAATTAACAATTAAACATTAATAACAACATTAATTAACGTGACTGTCCCGTCCAAGTCCCTGGGGACATGGCTGGAGCCACCCCCCTTCTCCAGGAGCCCTCAGGGTCCCACTGAAGCTTTCGTTTCTCAGCCTTTTCCTCTCCTCCATTAACTCATTAATAATTAATTAATTAATTTCCCTCACCTGAGCCTCATGTCGTAGGACGCCAGGTCGCCCTTGTACTCCATGGGTGTGTGGATCTTCCCTGCAGGACACGGGGGAATTGTCCCAGGATCCCAAAAAACCTGCCCTGAGGGGCTGGGGCAGGACAGGGACGGGGACAGGGATGGGGACAGGGATGGGGACAGGGACAGGGAATGGGGACAGGGATGGGGACAGGGACGGGGACAGGGATGGGGACAGGGATGGGG